CTTGAACATTCTAGGGTTCGACTCAAAGTAAAGAAAAAGACTCAAAACGACAGGACTTTGAAAGGAAATAACAAGAAACAACCCTAGTCTACGAAAACATAAACTCATCGTTTCATTTATTATAAAAATGGAAAGTTTGCTTAAGACTCTTTAAACTAAACTACTGACGTCGTTTTGATGTTGTACTTAGCCGTTGTGAGGGCGGAGATCACCTGCAAGAACGATATAATAATTGAAAAGCTTACCTTGGTGTGAAGGGTTCCGATTGGCCGCTTGTGTGGTTGTGGTGGCCGAGCTTGAAGCTGTGACGTCTCTGAATTGGAACCTTCTTGTTAAGTCTTCTAAATTCTTCTCCAATGCAGCCAAGTCCTTGTCTTCAAGTCCCCAAGCTTTTTGATGCTCCGTCCTAGTTTCTTGGTCTTCTTGGCCTTTCTCGGGTCCGGGTGGTGTGTTGTGAAGCAGCTCCAAATCTGCTCGTTGGTGTGGCAAGATTCCACGTTCGTTAGCTTCAGAATATGGACTTGGACGAGAGATCTTACCTTTGTTGGAGGTTTCCATGTCGTTTGGTGGCTCTAGCCCGGGTGTCGTTGAATTATCGGCTAAACCTTGCATGGTCTCGGCAATCTCGTTATCCGCTCGGGCAAACTTGTTTCTGTCTCGTCCATTAGATTCAGCTGGTGATTTTGGTCGAGCGATGTCAGGTTCAGTACGACACTTTCCGTCGCTAAATTGGTCTGGCCGAGGTGGTACTGATTTCTCGGCTAAAATCTCTCGCGTCTCGGCCAAAGTTTCTTGCAAATCGGCTATTTTTGAATCATCTTTTAGTTCTTCAAGTTTTAAGCCTGAAAATGAAATTCTGCTCGGATTCTTTGGAGCAACGGGTCGTCCGGTTCTAGTGAGTTGATAAAGATGTGCAAAGCCTTCTTGTATCTATTTCTGAGTTGTTTAATCTTGGAGCGTGTCATGGCCCCGTCTTGGATTGATGGCATTAGCTCCGGTAAGGTCTTAGGGTCGATGTCCACATCATAATGACACCGAGGCCCGTAGAAACACTTAACATGTATCGCAACTCTTGAAGCTCGTATCGACCCACTTGTCTCCTGATATATTCATAATTTGTCATGTTTAGGATTGCATTTTTGTCCAAATATTGAGTCTCATGCATACATTTAGCTAGTTTTATTAGAGTTTGTCTTTGGTTCTAGCTTTGTTTAGGACTTTGCATTAGGTCCTAGAGAGTCCTGCATTTTTGGAGTGTTTACAGGTCATTTGGAGACTTTTGGGATCAACTTGGAGCTGGGATCATGGAAAGACTCTCACCTGTGTGCAACAACCCGGAAAAATTCTTTGGAGCCAACGATACCTTTACTTTGATCGCGTGAGACAGATGACTTGCACTGTGATTCAGCTTCCGGAGTCTTCATCAAGAATCAAGAGGGTCGAGTCTAGTTTCCTGAACATTTGAGATCGTCCTATTTGGAAATGTGAGCTAAACGTTACGGCGATCGGAAGCAGTGCATGTCTCGGGGCCGATAAAAGACCAAAGCAACGCGCATCAAAGAACTGGCGGAACGAAGCCTTTTCCGACGTCACCTGATCTCGAGCCCTTCACCAAACCTGTAGCTAAAGACGTCATATGGCTCATAGAGTTGAAAGATTGAGGTTCGGACTAGCGAGCAAGGAGTTATGAACCATTTGGTGCAGGGGATTTGTATTCATACCGACCAGTGGCACCAAGTGAAACTCAGTCGGTATGAATGCAAACAAAACCTGACTTTTGCTGATCCTTGGAGTTCAAATTTGCCAAATGAATGCAGAGGAGCCACACCGAGTAAAAGTCAGTCGGTGTCCGTCCCATGAAGCTACTCTTTACGCGGCACCGAGCAAAACACCGAGTGAAGTTCTGGTCTAGATTCTGTTTAAGAGATTCTTAACGCCACACTGACCAAAAGCACCGACTGAAAGTCAGTCGATACAACCTCGATCCAGAACATTTTTATGGGCCTTTTTGGGACCAAGACCTAGTTTGTTCTAGGTTGGCCCACCAAGAAACCCTAACTATATATATGTTTTAGCATTATCCAGCAGACTTAAGCTTGATTCTCTTTGTTTTCTTTGCCTCTTTGGTGAAAAACCTGAACTTTGTAAGAGAGATCTTCATTTTCTGGGTTGAATCAAGAGAGTAATTAGGGTTTAAAGCTGATATCTATCATTATCCATCATCTCCATCTTCATTTTCCACCCCTTTGTGAGTTTTAATCAGAGAGATTGAGAGATTTCTGTGTCTAAAGCTGCAAACCCATCATCATCTATCTTCTCCATCTCCATTTCTCATCATTAATCATGCCAATCTTCTCAACTTGCAAAGGTTTAAGAGAGAATAGTATGATTAGTGAGTAGTTTAGCTTAATGAGGTTCTAGATGTATAGGTTAGGGTGCTAAGGTGTTAGATTAGGAGTGCTTAGGGCTAGATTCATTGATTCATTTCTCTAAACAGCTGTTATCTAGGCTAGATCCTTGCACATCACTTGTGATCTAGATTCTGGGAATTTCATGCACCAGAAGTGTTTGATGAAATTCCTGAAAGAGTTGTATTAGAGATTTAAGCATTTGCTGCATGATAATGTTTTGTTATATGCTTGAATGATCTTTTAGAACTGTTTCTTAATGCTCATTGATTCATATTTCACAAATGATGATTTGGTTTGAAAATGGATTAGTGTAGAGGTTAATGCCTTCATGAGAGGATTAATCTAGATTAGAGTTCCAAATCACTTGAATCATGTCTCATCATTGTTATTAGCATTCCTCATTTTGTATCAAAGCACCCTAGCCAACTATCATGTCTAGAATCTCATGCTTCCATCATTTCATATCATCTCATCTTGTCATTTGTTTGTTTAAGTTGATCATTAGCTTTAGTTCTTGTTTTAAGTTTGTTTAGTGGAAGTAACATCAAAACCTCACTCATTTGGCTTGAATTAAGAACTGATACTGCATCTTAGTGTCTACACATGATGGATTGATACCCTTTGTACTGCAAAGTGACAAAAGGGATTGATAACCCCTCATTTAGAGCCTTGAAAACTCTAAGTTATCAATTGGCGCCGTTGCCAAAGTGTGATAGCATTAAGATTGTGTCATTTCTTGAGATCAAGCATTTTCTTTTGTGTTTTCTAATTTCTTTCAAGTTCTGGTTGTGAGTTTCAGGTGCATGAACACCAGGTCCAGATCAAGAATTTGTGGTCCACCTTTCCCCTTAAACGACAACATAAATATTTTGGTTCCAAGAAGGAGAAGGGATAGGCGTGGAAGACAGAATGATCAGGGTGATATGGAAGATCAAAGACAGCATGTAGTTAACATTGAGCAACCGGCTCAGGAGCAACAGGCTCAGGTGCAGCAGGGTAATGGAATTGGTAATGCAGCTGGTAATCGAGCTGGTCAAGGGTTACATCAGGGTTACGTTCAGCAGGAACATGAGCATCAACAGCAAGCTTATGTCCACCTGGGACAAGCTCCAGCTCATCAGCAGAGGCATCAGGCCAGTGTACAGCAAAGACAACAGGTGCACCACCAACAGCCCTTCCAACACCAGAAAAGTCAGACTGATTAGGGTGATATGAAAGATCAAAGACAGCATGTAGTTGATATTGAGCAACCGGCTCAGGAGCAACAGGCTCAGGTGCAGCAGGGTAATGGAATTGGTAATGCAGCTGGTAATGGAGCTGGTCAAGGGTTACATCAGGGTTATGTTCAGCAGAAACAGAGCATCAACAGCAAGCTTATGAGCAGCCATTCCAACACCAGCAAAAGAGATATGAGCAGCCACAGGTCTATGTTGGAGAAAATGACAGGGCCAATGCTCATCAGTATGGAGCTGGAATTCAAGCACCACCTGTGCATAACAACAATTTTGAAGTCAAGGCATCTTTACTGAATATGGTCCAAAACTCAAAGTTCCATGGATTGGCAATGGAAGATCCCTTGGAACACTTGGATCAATTTGATAAAGTGTGTGACCTGACAAAGATAAATGGAGTTTCTGAAGACAGTTTCAAGCTCAGATTATTCCCCTTCAGTCTTGGTGACAAAGCTCATGGGAGAAGAACCTCCCAAGAGGCTCCATTCAAACCTGGGAGCAATGCAAGCAGGCATTTCTATCTAAGTTCTTCCCCACCTCCAGAACAGCTAAACTGAGAAACCAAATCTCTAGTTTCACTCAACACAGCAATGAGAGTTTTGGTGAAGCATATGAGAGATTCAGGAGCAACACCAACCAATGCCCACACCATGGGTTTAGTGAAGCTTCTCCTCTCAGCACACTTGATAGAGGAGCCCTTCCCAAGATTAGAAACCAGCTAGATACTGCCTCCAATGGAAACTTTCTGGGAAAGGAGATTCATGCTGCCTTAGAGCTGGTTGAGAACTTAGCAATGAGCAATGATACATATGGAGAAGACTTTGATAGAGCCAATAGGAGTGAGAGTTCAAGCAGGGATCAAAGGTATGAGAAGGACTTTAAAACACTTGAAAGCAAGCTGGACAAGGTGTTATTGGCCACTCAAAAGCCAATGCACTTTGTAGGAGAGTATGAGGAACCTTCTCAATGCTTTGAGAACATCAGTGAAGAGGGTCTTACTCAGGAGGAGCTAAACTATATTGGGAATCAGAGGTTCCAAAGATATCAGTATGGCAATGCCAATCAGAACCTCTCTTACAGGAATTCCAATGTAGCAAACCCACAAGACCAAGTCTACCCTACCTCTCAAGCTCCACAGAACTTTGTTCCCAAGAACAACTTTCAAAGGTCTTTTCAACCAAAGAATCAGTTTGCTCAGAATCAGGGTTTCAGTCAGCAACAACAACTATTTCAGGGTTCTGGTTTCAGTTCACAGCAGCAGCCAAAGGCACCACCAGGGTTTGGACCACCACAGTTCCATCAGCAGGCGCCGGTTCAGCAACAGTTCCAGACAGCACCAGTTCAACAGCAGCCACAGATGGGGTCAGACATGGTTGGGATTCTACAACAGCTGCTACAGAGTCAACAGGTGTTTGCAAGTCAGTATGCATCTATGCAGCAGGACATCAAGGAATTGAAGCAGAATCAGGCATCTAGCTCAAGAAACCAAGGCCAACTACCTGGTAAGCCTGAACCCAACCCCAAGGAATATGCTAAAGCCATTACACTGAGAAGTGGCAAGGAGCTACCTGGTATTGAGCACAACAATGTGATCATTGAGGACAATGATCAAACAGAGGGGGAGACAGCCTTAAAAGATGATCAAGTTGCTGAAAGATCAAGGAAAGAAAAGGGCAAAGAGGTGGAAAACAAACCTGAACCAGAGAAGCTATATGTTCCACCACCTCCATACCAACCCAAGCTCCCATTTCCAGGGAGATTTAAGAAGCAGCTTGTAGACAAGGCAAGAGATGTATTTGAGAAGGCTCTCAATGAGACATCACTCACAATGCCTCTCATTGATGCATTTCTAATGATGCCAAAGATGGGTAAGTTTTTAAAAGATGCTATTCTGAACAAGACTAAAGAGCTTCAGGGTATGGTGGTATTGAGTCATGAATGCAGTGCCATCATTCAGAGAAAGGCAATCCCAAGAAAGTTAACTGATCCAGGGAGCTTCACACTCCCTTATGCCATAGGGCCTCTGCTATTTTCTGGATGCCTTTGTGATCTGGGAGCATCTGTCAGCTTAATGCCATTCTCCATAGCGAAGAAGCTTGGCTTTAGAGTGTTTAAACCAGCTAGGATCTCTCTTGTCCTTGTAGACAGATCAGTTAGGTTACCTGTTGGGATGTTGGAAGATCTGCCTGTCAAGATAGGTGGTTTTGAGGTTCCTACTGACTTTATTGTGCTAGAGATGGATGAGGAACCAGTTGATCCTCTTATTTTGGGCAGACCATTCTTAGCCACAGCAGGAGCAATAATTGATGTGAGAGGTGGCATAATAGAGCTTCAGCTTGGGTCTGAGAGGATAAGTTTAATGTGAATGCAATGATGAAGAAGCCAAAAATAGAAGGGCAATGCTTCTATGTTGAGATAATGGATGAGCTTTCTGATGAGCTTTTAGAGGAGTTAAACACAGAAGATCAGAGCTTTTAGAGGAGTTAAACACAGAAGATCATCTTCAGATAGCTTTAACAAAAGAACATGGAGACCATGGCTATCTTTGAAGATAACTCATTCAACTCAATCTTTGGTGAAGAAACTATCGGCGCTTGGGAAGTGGAAGGATTCCTGGAGGGCTCATCTTCGCAGTGCATTTACAGGATCAGCGAGAGGCGTCTAGACAGGTGTCCATTCCGGAGACCGTATCTTCCTGCTCATAGCTCCGAATTGAATAATCTTGCACGTTATAAAAAGAGGAATCAAATATCTCTGATTCTTATGAAGGCCTCGGAAACCGAATCTGCCTGGAAATGCGCCGTTCTTCGCATTCTTCGGAGCTCATCGGGTCGGTCCAAGACGGCAGCGAGACAGGGGTTTCTTCCGACGAGCTGCTCACACGTCCGAATTCTATTATTCCACTTACTATGGAACCATGATCGAATCGTCTCCAACTTTGATGAAGCCTCCGACAACTGAATCGGACCGGAAGGTTCCCCGGACAGGCGATCATTCAGGAGTATCGGATTGCTCCGGAATGGATGCGAGAGAGGTCTGTCTTCCGATTACCATATCTTTCGGCTCCGTGGTCCAAATGATTTGTTTCCAACTGTTCTGAACTCTTGACTCAATTATCTCCAACTTTTATGAAGACTCCGACAGCTGAATCGGCCGGCAAAATCTTCCGGTGACGCGATTTCGGAGATGTATCTGCACTCAGGATTTTTGGCCGAGAGACTTGACCGCGGCACGTGTTTTTGGCCGAGAAAGCTACCCGCGGGAAGGATTTTGGCCGAGGATCTTCGACCTTCAGTACAGCATTTTGCCGAGAAACCCAAAATTGCTACTTTTCACCATTTTTGATCATTCCAACTCCATTTCTTCATCTGAATCACATCCTCCACTCCAAATTGGCTCCAAAAGCACCTGTTTAACACTCCAAAACATGCAAAACTCTCTTGGACCTAATGTAATCTCCTAAGTCCTAAAACAATGCCTAAAGACCTAAAATGCATGAGATAAGACATGATTTGGACTAAAATATGTACACTAAATGATGCAATTTATGAATATATCAACTCCCCCACACTTATCCTTTGCTTGTCCTCAAGCAAAAAGAACAAATGAGAGAGAGATGTTGAATGCATTGGGAGTTCATATTTCCTTTTAGAGAGAAGTGATCACAATGAGAATTCAAGTTCATGCTCAGTTATGCAATGCAAAGCCATACTCAGATATATATCAACTCAACAAGAAATCTCCACAAGTTCTCCTCTCTCTCAACTCTTTTAAATTCATTAAGCTTTTATCAAGTGAATCAAATGATGCAATGTTTAAACAAGCTGGCTTGGCTAGGGAGAGGCTATGAGATTAAAATGATCTCATCAGTGTTCAAGCGGGTTTAATGCAGCAAATGGATATCTCTATGAATGATCAAACTTTGGCAGAATGCTAAAGGTAAAAAGCAACCTATGCATACAAGGGCAAAGACTCATCACACCCCACACTCTACTCAAAGCTTTCTCACTTGCTCACTCTCTCAAGAACCTCACTTTTCACACTCATTCTCCTCTTCACTAGGGGACTTACTTTTCATTTTCACTCTCAAGTCTTGGAGTTCAAACTTTACACAGCTCTTTTTCTCTTTTGCAACCTCTAGCCTCTTTTTCTTTCTTTTCAAAACATTTGAGCTCTTTGGCTTCTTTTCTTTTTCTTTTACTTAGGGGCTAGACTCTTTCTTTTCAAGACACCAGAGCTCACTTTCTTTAACTCAAAACTCCAAGACTCATTTTTTTTTTCTTTCATTCCCCTAGCTATTTCCACTTTCTCTTTTCCACTCATCTCACCTTTTTCCACTCACCAACAAGTCTTTTCCCCCACACTTATTCCTCGCCAACACTCTCAGTTCCTCAATATTGGAACACAACACTCAATGAGACCTGCCCTTGTCGCTCTAAACCTAACACTTTCTACTAAGTTTGATCCAAGGTGGCCTTTCAATTCACACACAAACATTGGCTTGAAAGAGGGATGGGTTCAAGGTGAGGGAACTGATCCATGATGTGGATTCAGCTACTTGAGCTAAGGAAAAAGGGCGGTAAAAACAATGGTACTAGCTCAAGTATGTATGTTGGTATCCACAAGCTTATTCAAACAATGCATCACAAGATATTTTCAAGTCAAGTTCAAGGTTCTCACTTAATTAGAGTTGAGTTCAATTCAAACTTGCTTCTCAGATTCAAATCGTTTCAGACTTTGCAAGCACAGAAAAAGATTCACAAGCATATTCAGTTCAAGTTCTCAAAGTGATGTACTCTCTAGAAAACCTATCATTACTCCCAGCAAGATGCAACCTATATGATGCAACTAGACTCGATCCTAAAAAAATGTGAATGCAACTAGAATGAACATTTTTTTTTTTTTGTGAAAATTTTTTGATTAGATGCAACTACATGAGACTCAAGACTCAAAGTGGAAAATAAGATAAAAGAAAACATGATTAGTAAAGACTAAACTCCTCCCCCACACTTGAATAACACAGTCCCCTGTGTTATAAAAGCATAAGAGAGAAGGGAAAGGCAAAAGCAAGAAAAATGCAGAATGAAAAATTAAGAACTAGATGCATATGTACAAAGAGTTTGGAGAGTTACCAGACTTGTTCATGATGGAATGGAGGCATTGGACATGGAGGAGAATGCTGGTGCTTTGAAACCTTTGCTCTGACTCAAGTCTCTCAAGCATTCCTCTTTGTTCATGCTCGTTCAGGGACCCCTCTGCCTAGCCATGCCGAGGCTTCTATACCGAGGTGGACAAGTTTCTGTGTAAGTGGCAAGGGCACCTCGGTATTAGCTCAAGATCACCTCGGCTTTGGCTCTCCAAGGCTTCTCACAGCACTTGGTTCCATGAAGATCAAACAAGAGACCTCGGTAATGATCATCTTTAGGTGCTAGGCCGAGGTCTCAGGTTCACTGCTCCTTTGAATCATAAGGCCGCCACCTTTAAGCTTCTCTCTGCACTTGTTCCTTCAAACCATTGAGCAAGAACACTTTCTAGAACCTGAGATCACTTAGCAAACCCATCAAAACATTCTAAAAACACTAAAGAAAAGATTAAAAAGACTATATACAAGGATAAGCTTGGGGTGTCTCCCAAGAGCACTTTGTTTAAAGTCACTAAGTTTGACTTTGTAAAAGCTTTCTTAGGTTGGGTGAGAAGGAGCACTAATGCTCTTGAACATGTCAATTATCTGAAGCATGAAAGCTGAGCTCTGCTCCCTTTGAGAACCATCAGACCCATTTCCCTTTAACTCAAGCTTGAGACCTTTTTGCATCAGCTCTTGAATACCATCAGAATCCTTGTCAATGAGTGCCTTTGTGAGACCGGTTCTGAGCTCTGCAAATAACTCTGATTTCCCATTGCAATCCAACTTGTACTTTACAGCTCCGTCCTCACATGTCCAAGGGGTGAGAGTAAAGTCTTGTGAGGAAAATTCAGGTTCAAGGTTCTTTTCTTTTGAATCAGATCTTTCACCTTTGCTGTTGAGCATCTCTAGCTCACTAAGTGTAGGACACCATGTGAGGAAGATGTCTTCTAATCTGATCAAAGGCTCTGTATTCTCATCCTTATGACCATAGTTGATGTGGGCTTGTTCTCCTTTCTCCACAGCTGAAAGGGATTTAGATTCTCCTAAAACTCCAACACTTCCCACATAATGCATCTCAAGCACCTTGGGCTCTTCTATCTCTTGAGCAGCTGATCCACAAAATTAGGCTAAGGGAGGCTTGACAGGGTAAGAAACGTCCTTATCCACCTTTGTAAGCACCAATCTTTGAGTATCAAAGTCAACCCTTGCACCAGTTGTGTTAAGGAATGAAGTTCCAAGCAAAAGTGGAAGTTCCTTTGTCTTTTTCATCTTCATGACTATGAAATCAGTTGGAACTATGCACTCACCAACCTTCAAAGGATAGTTCTCTATCAGCCCATGAGGTTTCTTTGAGTAAGAATCGCCAAAAGTGATGGCAGAAGGATATTCCTTTAAGTTCTTGATCCCAAGTCTCTCCATCATGCTAAGAGACATCACATTTACACTTGAGCCTGAATCACACAAGGCATTCTCAACTCTGAACTTCCCAAGAGTGCAAGAGATTGTAAATTTCCCTGGATTACCCAGCTTTGGGAGTGATGTAGGCTTTATCTTTGGTGAATCTAGGCTGGAGACATCATCCCTTGACTGTACTTGAGCAACAGGCTGGTCCCTTGCTTCAGCATCCCTTGAATTGTTCCATTGCTCAACAAAATCATTCCAATGCTGCAAATAACAAACTGAACAGGCCGCCCCTCCACCTTCTTTTGCAATGTCCTCATTGAGATCAGGTAACAAGCTCATAAAGTCCTCTATAATGGCGTCCTCTTCCTCTTTATTAGGACTGGACCCATCAGAGACTTGACCATAAAGAAGGTATTCAATCTCTTGAACAGCAGCTGAGTGATCATCACTTGAGTAGATGGCATTGCAATAATCTTTGGGGTTTTGAAAAGCTTTACCAGCAAGAGGGACCTGAGTTTCTGAAGTGCAGATGCCTTTGTTCTTTCTAAGAGTCATAAGTTCAGAGCTTAATGTCTCCATCTTAGAAGTCAGGTCAATACACTTGGAATCTAGCTTTTGTTGTCCTTGTAAGATCTGTTGGAGAACAATACCGATATCAGGACCTTGCTGCGGCATAGAACCCTGCTGAAACTGTGGCTGACCGAATCCAAGAGGTGGAGACCTTGGTTGCTGAAAACTGACTTGGTTTGTGAAGCTGTTCCCTTGTGCCTGAACCGCTTGTGGCTGATAAGACTGTTGACCTTGGTACTGATTCTTTTGAACAAAGCCTTGAGGAG